GGATTGAACCGCGGTCCCTGTGCTTTGCTTAGCTTAGCTTGTTCTAAGTAGGTGCTTTAGACCACTGAGCCATCTCACCAGCCCCACTATTCAGTTTAGGATGGCATTGAGCTCACTTTTTAGACCAGGCTGGTCTCAAACTCACAATGATCCTTCTGCCTCAGCCTCCTGAGTTCTGGGATTAGGGGTGTACACCACCATGCCCTGCTTTAGACATACCTTTAAAAAAAATCTTTATTCATTTGGTACAGGGACTCTCAACACAGCTTAGACTTGTAGTGATCCTCCCATTTCAGCCTTCACAGTGCTGGGATTACAGGTATGTGCCACCATGCCTGGTTTCCGAGGCTGGCATGATGTCCCCTGGGCAGGGGGCTGGCATGGCATGTGGCACTGGGGACTGAGCCCAGGTCCTTGCACTTGCCAGGCAGGTGTTTGGACCACTGAGCTATCTCTCTGCCTAGATGTACTTTTAAGGCGACCACATTTGTGATCTCAAATAGTTGTTCTTTTTTTTAGCACAGTCAAAAGTCAACTCTTTTGACTTATTCACAAATGAGTTACAGATACGTCTCTTCCAGTCTGGGGATCTTTTGTGGTTGAGAAGTAGCACTCAAACTCTTTTGAAAGCAGAGGAGTGGGACCAGGGAGATGGCTCAGTGGAATAAGTGCTTCCTTGGCAAGCGCAAGGGCCTGAGTTTAATTCTCGGTTCCGCCAAAAAAATCCCAAACAGATGAGTGATCATATGCCATTTGGGGAAAGAAGACCCTGGTTCAGCATCTTTCAGAATCTCTGCTAATGTCTGAAACATGTCAAAAATCCCAGTGTGGGCAAGTATGGTGGCACATGCCTGTAATCCCAGAACTTGAGGCTGAGGCCGAAAGATCACTGTGGGTTCAAGGCCAGAATGAACTGCATAGAGAGACCCTGTCTCAAAAGACAACAAAAAAAAATCTCAGTGTAGCCATTTTATCTGCCAACTTGAACACAGTTGTCATTCTTTCCTGAAGTGACATTAAGTTCATTGAACACTTTGAATATGTTTTCCAAGTAAGCAAGTTTTATGGTTCATTTCCTCTGCTGCTAGTAGTATTTGTTTTTCTAAAAGAAATCTCCATAGTGGCTCCTCCCATGACTCAAAACTCTGCCAGTGACCTAACAGCTTGTGTCTAGATCTCCCAGATCTTCGTGTGCTCATGGGGGTGGGAGTTTTTCAGAGATGGCTGGATTCAGGGTCTATGAATGTAGTTAAAGGTGTTTTAATATGAACTAAGAGACACACACACTCTCTTATTTCTGCTTCTGTGCCACGCTGCCATCACCGCTGTGGATAAACCTGACATTGCTGTAATGTTATGTCTTTAGCTCTTTGGGGTAGGATACCCATAAGGAGAAGAGCTGGGTCAGATGAATTTCTGATTTTACTTCTTTGAGAAATCTCCATACTGATGTCCCTAGTAGTTGTGCTGGTTTACATTCCCATCAATGAATTGCTACTGCTCTAAATGATGTTATAGAGCTTTGAAGTACCCTCCTTCAACTGGACATTAGGATAAATTGATCATAGAGTGCTTCTCAAACTGGACTCTCCGAGTTTGCAGCATGAATATCACCAAGGAACTGATCTGTAATGCTAATCCTCAGACCCCTCCTCCACACACCCTAGATCTGCATCTCTTGAGAAGTCCAGCTATCTCCTTACACAAGCTTTCCTGGGGAATCTCATGTAATTTATTTATTTATTTATTTATTTTTTTTTTTTTAAATTTTATTTACTTATGTGTGTGTGTGTGTGTGTGTGTGTGGCCAGCTCAG